TCAGTATTAAAAACAGATACTAAATAATGCATATTGACTTTATGGGTGTTAATACTGACAAAAGGTAATTTTGGATTTTAGGAGCTCCGAAATGCTCACAGTGAACAGCTCATGGGAATCCGCCGGGAAGAGGAGATGGAAATGTCCGATGATGACAGTGGTGACAATCCCAGTAAAAAGCTGAGAGTAGATGATTCAGGTAAATATATGCAAGTGTTGTTTTATTAAAAGCAAACAAAAACTTACATATGAGAAGTGACATGTTAATACTTGATTATATAAGACAGTGTCTTATTTTAAACCCTCATAAATTAGTTATTTGAATGATGCAAGCTGTCTCTAGGAGATGTCTGTCACTGGCTATGTTCTATAATGATCAGAATTCTCCAGTTCTGCCCTTGGCTGGAAGCATTATGTTTCCTTGTTGCACTCTCTGCAGGTTTGCATGACAGCATTTCATTCCATGGTAGAAACAATGTTCTATTATGAGACCAGTTCAAGTTATGCTTTAGTCAGTGTTCTCTAAGCTGTACCTTTCTTTGCAACAAAGACATAATAATCTCAATATAAGAAATAGCATTTCTGTGGGGCTTTTTTGGTTGCATACTGGCTTTCTATTTCACACTATGGTACTGCATTCTGCATGAATTAGACACTGATTAGTTGGCTATCATGAGTCCAAGAATAAGGGTGCATGTAATGTGAATAAGAAAAACAGCTTTTTCAGCCTTCTGCAAATACTCTGCTATTCAGGATGGACACCAAGAGGTGGCTCAGGAGCTGCCAGAGTTACTAACTGGTAACATGATCTGGATGTGTGTTTTGCTCTACTTCTTGGCATTGGCTAATAATTTGTGAGTTGCTAACAAGGGTTTGCTTGTTTAGACACTCATAAAAAATGAAATCTTCAGTAGCTGAAGCAAAGGCATGACTAGAAACTGCCAGGCAGCAGTGAACTTTCAGAAAAATAAAGAAGGAAGGAATAATATTGAAATAATATCAGTCTCCACTAGGGTAATCCTGATCTAGTCCTTTTCATATAGGCACCACAGTAAGAAAGGAAAGAATTTCATCCATTCAATGCTTTCAAGTCTTTGTTTGCCAGTTGAAAGGTGTGAATTCAAACTTACAGAGACAAGAACTCTGGCTTCTTCTGTGACAAGATACTGTGTGAGGCTGAAGGTCCCCAGAAGTAGAGACCAAAGGAAGGAGTGTCATTCTATCGAAGAAATTTTTACTGTGACATCTCTCTTGAGGGGAGATTTAATATTTTTCCTGGAAGAAAAATGCAACAATAAAATCCATAAAGGGCAGCTTTAATTTTTGCTAGGCTAATTTTGTGGATTTGTATTTTCTAGATGCCATTAGCAGAGTGTTTGAAGCTGAGACAGTAGGTCTCAGGACCTGCTAGAAATCAGCAATTTTTATGACTATCTAATCATTTTACATTGACTGTGTCCACTCTCATGGAGAAGTCATTAGAACTAACCACAGGAAGGTAGAGCCAGAAATACATATAGCCTGCATGCCAGAAGAGGAGCAGGAATGTTTTGAAGTGTAATACTTACCAATTCAGCCAGGTTTAACATATGCATGCTTAGGGCAGAGCTGTGTTGGTCATTCATTTTGTAACACCACAGATAGGAAAGCATGTTTGGTTTTCATGCATGAAAAAAGACATTACTGTCAGAAGTTTTGATATCTGAGATTTTTACAGCGTTCTATCCCAAACAATTTGTATTTGTATTTGTTATTTGTATTGTTACAATGTGGGCACTTGAGAAAACCCAATACTGTGTTGCATTCTAAATCAAAATTTAGCAATATGAATCCACTTGAGTACGTGTCCATCATTGTTTGTTGTACCATTCATCATCTTAAACTCAGTGGAGTTGATCCATCCTGCTGCATACAAAGTCATCCACTTCTCAAATTAATGTTATGGCTTTCTTCTTTCAACACTACACTCTCACTTAAAGCAAGTGCATTTGGTTCTTCTGTCAATGACAGAATAAAGGAAACTTGGAATTATATCTAAAGAGCTATTGGGTATAAAACATTGGTAAATGAAAATAAACTGAAAAAGGACTTTTTTATTATTACTCTCATGTACAGAAATGTGATTCTTCTTTCCTTCTTCTGGCATTTTTTAAAATTACTATTTGTGTTAGCTGCCTTCTCTTTTTCTTTTTTTTTCATCTCTTTCTAATTGCATCATTTCAGAACCACCACTTTATCTCACTGGAGTGGCTATTTGTATTCACAGTAACCTCTGTTGTATGAAGAATGTCTTTTAAAGAGTTTTTTTTCACAAAGAAACCATCTTGCACAGTAAGAAAACATTGTCACTTTCTTTATTTTTAACCCCTCTTCTTAAAATTTTTTCTAAGTACTTAGCCTTGGGAAGAGCAAGACTTGAATAACATGAAAATATTGTGCCTCCTCAATTCAAGGACAGCGCACACACATAAAGTTTTAAAAGTCTCAATCCAAAAGTAGCTGAAGAAGTGAGACATGATGAATTGATTTGCATGGTTCCAGAGCTCTGGACTGTGTGTTCTGCCATTCCAACAGTTTTCTTGAGGACGTTATTTTTCAGCCTGCCCTTTTTGACAGTGTGAGCAAGACTGCTGGGAAGTTACAACCCCAAAGCTAAAATAAGTGATAGAGATTCCCTCAGGCTTCAACACCTGTGTCAAGTCTTTTTTTCAGTGGTTCACCTGGTTAAGTCACTGCTAGTACAAGAAGGCTTAATTAATTCAACAATTTAGAATGAGTTCTAAGACCTCATTCTGTCTCAGTAAAGTGTAGTTTCAGGAGTCTCCCAGCATAATTTCTTCTTTTCTGGAAGAAAACACACTGAGTGCATCACATCTTCTCACAGCTAGATAGTTGGAATGAAAACTTTCCTCTAGGATATCTGAAGATAAGCCTATTAATCACCCTGAGAAAAAGAGGATGGATTCCAGCCCCAGCATTTGAAAATATACTGCAATACATCTAAGCCCTGAGATTGTGAAGAAGTACTTCAGTGCTCGGGTGCTTGTCCAGAGTTGCTGGACATGTGGTTTCAGAGTGATGTGGTTTGACCTAGCTGGCAACTAAGTATGACTCAGCTGCTTGCTCACTCCCCTAGCCCAGTGCAGTGGGGAGGAGAATCAGAAAAAATGTAGCAAGTTGTGAGTTGACATTAAGGACAGATTAATAATTGAACAAAATATAATTATGATGATAATGGTAATAATAGTAGTAGTAGTAATAGTAGTAGTAATGATGATGAAAAGGAGAGAGAAATGCCAATAAAATCCTAGAGAAAAAAGTGATGCACAATTGCTTACCACCCTCTGACTAATGCCCACCTTGTCCCTCAGCATTAATTTACCCCTCCTGGCCAACTCCCCCCATTTTATATACTGAGCATCCCCACTGCTCTGTGGTATGGAATAAAGGAATGATATGGGATGGATATGATATGGAATACCCCTCTGGCTAATTTGGGTCGCCTGTCCCAGCCATGCTCTCTCCAGGCTTCTTGCTCACCTCCTCACTAGCAGAGCATGGGGAACTGACAAGTCCTTGGTTATTTCATCTGCAAATTGTGTTTCTGCTAGCTATTAATGAACTTGGTTTATTGCTATCAGTGACTCAGTGGCAGAGCTGGAATGAGAGCTGGCATCTCCAATCTCCTAAACCTGTCTTCCACTCCCTAGTTGACATTGCAGGCCTGGGCCACTGTCTGCTGCTAATCCAGGTGTTTTGCAGGTCATTCTCCCCAGGCTCAGTCAGTACCCTGTCAGTACTCCATTCTGCAAGCTGAATCTTCAAGGAAAAGGAAAGAAAGCTTCACTACTTTTTTGTTATGTTGGAGATCATCTCAAATTGCTGGAAGGATAGCCTGAAGAAATCCCTAGGGTATCCAGTAAGTTGGTTCAACTGACACATGTGTCTGGTTTATAGGAAATCCTCCCAGTTTCACAGACTAAAAGTAATTTGCATTCCAGGAAAAGCTGGAAAAAGGCTGACCTGAGACTGAGTGAATCTCATTCGTGGGACCATCTTTTACTTCTTCTTTCCCCCCCGCCCCTGCAAAATTCAGCCTTTATACAGTGATTTTTCTGCCATTTGGACTTTGTAGTTTGAAAGAGACAAGAGGATTGCTGAAGTTAAGCTGGAAGATTGCTAAGAAAAAAATAATAATGATGATTGGCAACTCAGTTAATATGTTTGAAAGTCAAGATGCAGCTACTGGGGCATTAGCTCAAGGGAGACAAAAGAGATTCAGTGCTGGAGTCTCAAGGATATACAAAATCTTCAGAATGATCAGGATTTATGGAGGCTTCCTCTCCCACCTGCTGGCACAGGGAGTAAGGAACCACATGTAAAAGCCTCAAAAGTGATTTCAAGAATTAGTAAAGATGTGTTTTGAAGTTTGGCTTATGCCTACAAGGCACCTGTTATTTTACTGTAAGGGAAGGTGGATTAATCTTTTGCTCTTGCAGTACACAGCAACAGCATGCCATTAATTCTAGCAACTCCAATTTCAGTGAGAGACTGGAGCTGGTGCTGAGGGAAAGAATGAAATGCACTGTGCTTGGAGAGGGGTGCAGGAAAGATAGTTGTGTGACTATGGTGTTTGACTGGGATCCCAGAGCTCTAGGCCAAATCCCAGCTCTCCTACATATCCTCTGCCCAGACTAGTCAATGAATTTGTATTGTCTCAGTTCTCCAGTATCAAATGGAGACAATGGTTCATCCTTTCATTCAGCCACTTCCTGGTCTGTCCACGTGGATAATAAGTTTCTTGATATAGGCCTCCCTCCAGCTCAACAGACTTGCAATAGGCTACACATTTGACCCTTGGAGCATTTCATCACCATTGTACTACCTCTGATGAAGTAGTTTAATAATATCTCAGAGGCTGTGTGCACATAATAAATTGCAAGCTGCATAGTGCAAGCCCAGTTTGAATATGTAAGATTGGTGCTGCTTTGCAAGTTAGGGAGGAGATCCTCCATGGCAGCATTTTCAAACATACCTAAAGTGGGTGCCAAACTTAAATACTGAAGTTGGATCTTTAATTTTGTTCTGAACTGATCTGTCCTATTTGCTGCATCAGGTATGTCACTTGCTGTAAGAGACAGGCTGAATAGTGGGCAGTTCATCTCACAGAAGAATATAAGTCCTTGTGCAACTCAGTAT